GGAACATGAAAATTAAAACTATAAGAGGATACATGTTTTTCTTTCCTTAACAGATCGGCAAATGACAAAACATTTGGTAAAACACTGTCTTGTAGAAAAACAGCCACTCTCATATATTACTAATGGGGAGTACAAACTAGTACCACTTCTATGAAGGGAAATTCTGCAGTGGCTCCTAAAAATTTAATGCTTGTACCTCTCTATCCAGCAATATTACTCCTAGGAATTGATCCTATGCATATTCTCCTACATGAGTGGAAAACTTAACATTCAAGGATATTCCCTGCAAAACTGTTTCTAATAACAAAGGATTGGACACAACCTAAAGGCCCATCAATAAAAGACTGGTTAAATAAAAAATGGTACATTTGTAAAAAGGGTTACTCTGAAGTCAGGAAAAAGATCACAGTGGTTCTAGACTTGTGTTATGCTATATTGTTAAGTGCACAAAGCAAGGTGCCAAACTGTAAGCACAGTATGTTAACTTACAGGCAACTGACATGTATCTTCTTAACAAGCACTGGTATCTTTGAGGAGATGGATACTCAAAAAACTACTAGTAGACTGTTGGCCACTGTTGGCCGGGAATTTTAGAGAGGCATGTTTTATAGCTTTTCAAAACTTAATTAAAACAAAAAAAACTCAATGCAGCAGGGAGAGGCAAGGAGTAAGCTAGTGAATTAGAGAAAAAAAACTAGATGATACCACATCAAGGGAAAGGAAAATGGCCAAGAGAGCTGGAGGCCCTGGAAATCATGGTTGGAGAGAGATTCCCTGACTGTAGTGTGAAGTCTGGGTTTATTCCCGAGAGGTTAATTCTGATGGGGACTTGGGAAAAGCCCTTATGCTGGGGCTCGGGAGTCAGGCAGTGTCCATGGTGGGGCGGGGGTGCGCCGGGGGTGGTCACAGCATGTGTGGGAGCTGAGGAAGAGAGGGGCCTGTTTCTAATACATGCAGAGTTCATGTACCAATTAACTTACGTATATCCGGAAGATAGCATCCTTGCATCGTTTTTATCCTAAGGCTTAAAGGGAACGCTCTGGCCCTTTCAGACCTACATTCACACAAGATGTTAAAAGATGTTACTGAGACAGTAAAAAGATCAGTGGACGCCAGGGGTTAGGGGCAGTGTGGGATGAAGAGGCAGAACACAGAGGATTTTCAGGGCAGTGAAACTATTCTGTGTGATACCACAGTCATGGATACATGTCATAATAACTCCGTCCAAACCCACAGAAGGTACGACACCAAGGATGAGCCCTCGTGTAAACTACGGACTTGGGGTGATAAATGACATGTCGGTGCCGGCTCACTGACTGTAACAAGCGTACCCCTCTGGTGATAGTGGGAGACGGTGCTCACGTGTGGGAGCAGGGGGACATGGGAAACTTCTGCATTTTCTGCTCAATTTTTCTGCCAACCTAAAACTGCACTAAAAAAAAGTCTGTTTAAAAGTGTGGGGAAGGAGAATGCCTATTCCTCCACACACATCACTAACACCTGAGCAACCCACAGAGAAAAACCAATCAACCAGTTGCTGCTTGGTATGTAAATTACATCTTTCTCCTAATGGTTCAAAGGTTTTAAGTGTTACTCCTTCATTTATCCTCGCAACATCTGCATAGCTACAGTGGAATACAAACGGTGTAAAACTGGGTAAAAAGAGGCAATATTGGGAAAATGAGGCCACGTCTCAAGGTGAATCACCTGCAGAAATAGGCCTGCAATTCAACTTTCCTTATTGAGCAACACGGCTTTTTTTAAACATATAAAGGCCATTTTGAAAGCAAACAATTAGGAGTGTCATCCATGGTCTACTCTGAGGTGCATGCATGTACATGTGTGTGTGTATGTAAACATACATGCACAGATAGACACACAATCAAGCATATACCTACCTACACACACACACACACACACACACCACTCATACAGTTATACTCCAGGCCGAGAGCTACCTTTATCAACATTTTTAAGCCAAATTTAGGCATAATAATAATACAACAGTGAAAGTGACCAGCAGACCGTTATAAATAAAGAAACTCACATACATCATCGTCAGAATTTCTAGTCTGAGATAAGTGAGAATGAACAAACTCACAAAAAAAACATTACAAGTCAGATATACTTGTCGCAGCACTCACTAAAAGGATTTAACTTAAAATGCAAACGTCATCATGTTGGAAGGGGAAATGAGAAGCTAATAACATGCACTGACGTTTACATAAAATTAGTATGTAAAGTGGGAGCTATGAACCTAATGATGGATGTGAAGCAACGGTTTGCATTTTATCAGACTAAGCAAAAAACATAATTGACAAAGAGGCAAATCTAAATGAATTTCCAGCTATTTCAACACTAAGTGCAGCTGCATGAGAACTGTCAGTGTTATAAATGAAAAAAAAAATCTGTTTAAACTGAAAAAAAATTTTAAATGCAGCCAATAAGTGAACCTACCTACTTTACTGAAGTTACCATTTATTTAATCAGAAAAAGGTATTTTTTTCCAAAAAGGAATTTTTTAACATCAGAATATTCAATCTGCAGTTAACTTCTTATTGATCAAGGAGAAAGATGTTTGGAGGCAAATGAAAATAGTAAAGTGTTTCTGGGAGCAGTTATCTGCCATTCCTGGAATTAAGTCAAGGTTAAAAATATTTGTTTTCAAGAAGAAGCTAATACAATAAGATTTCATTTAAAAGCCACTAAGAATATATATATATATATATATATATATATCTTAATCACTTTGCTGTACACCAGAAATTAACACAGTATTGTAAATCAACTATACTTCAATTTTAAAGAGCCACTAGTACCACCCCACTCAGTATCTTATTAGTGGCAGTTATGAGCTCAAGTGCTGGTACCAGCGGGTTCAAATCTTAACTCTACTATTTCTTGCTGTGCGACTCTGGCAGATCACTTAACCACACTGTGCCTCACTTTTCTCATCTTACTATGAGGGTGATAACAGTACCTACCTCCTAGGATCACTGTGAGAATGAAAAATGTTCATACATGCAAGACACATGCTCAATATCTGAGAGCTATCATTATAATCATCACTCAGGACAGTAGTCTCTCTCTCAGGGCAGGTGTTCTTTTGTCCTAAAAAACTGACAAAGAAGATGGTGGCGAGCATGCCATGATTTTGCTGGTCCCTGGATATAAAGTACTGTCATTTCCCACCTCTCACACCTTCTCCTTGGCGGATGGGAATCATGGGAATATCTCTGCCACTTCTGAGTGAAGATCGATCCTGGGTGAGAAACTGACTGAAGTAACCCTCCCCCCGCACAGATGTTGCACAAGTGACTCTAGACCAGAGAATGCCAAGCCAGGATGTCTTAGAAGGTGCTTTGAGATCTTGGCATATTTTCCCTACAACACCATCAGCCCTCAAAGGGATTGCTTGGTGACTGCTCATACACCTGACTTTGTACTTGATCTTTTCCCAGATCCTCTGGAATATCTCACCAAATTATTTATCCTGTATTTTCCAAGGTCATGAAAAGAAAAGGCACAAAAATCAAAGCTGATACACAAATATTCTATGTTTATTCTTCCCCTTTAATTTACTGGAAGTTCCAGCATCTGAGAAGGAAAAAGGCCAAGTCTACAGGCTTCTTGGCAGGGTGATGAGTCATCGAAAAGAGATCTGAATTCCCACAAAATAAACATAACCAAACCCCTCCACACCCTCTCAAGTGCAGTCATACTGTGAGTGGACTGGCATCCCTGCCAAGGGATCAAGGGAAGAGAAATGGGAGAAAGACAGAGAAGCCCTCAACCTTGAATCACACACAAACTCTGATTCCAAAGGAAGACCAGAGTGCTTGCCTGTGTGCAGTCAAGGCATGGCATTCGTCCAGGATCCAGACAGACTGCAGGGCCTGGGCAAATACATCTGGAGTAAAGATGAACTCGGGGTGAAATCAAGCTCTCCCCACATTCCCAACTTCCTTTCCCGTGTTGCTTTGCACTAATATTTCATGAGGACCTTGAGACCTCAACTTAGAAAAATCTACTCTCCAAAGAGGATCGGCTACCCTCATTTACATCTCAGCATGAATTTAATCCCGGTTATTTTTCTCCCAAGTTATTTTACTTCAATTATGATTTCTAAGGTGATTAGAGACCTCACGCCCTGTTCAAACAGGGTCAGTCCTGAGACACGTATATTCCAGAGGAGGCAACCTACTCTGCTTGCACAAGACACCAGGCCTCATCCGTGGACCCAAATAGTCCTATTTCCACATGAAATGTCTAAAATAGGTAATCACTATTAACCTACGTTAAACTTAACAAAAATAAACTGAGCAGATTAACTCCTCAAATACCACAGAAAGACAACAATCCTTTTAAACTTAAAATCAGTCAAACCTTAAAATAATTTTAAAATTTAAATGTGTCATATTGGAAAGAATAGGCAGCAAATCTAACTTTTGGTCCAGCAACAACACTATCTTACCATGTACGCACAGACACATGTCACTTGAATTTTGGGGCCTCAGTCTCCAGTGACTAAAATTAATAGGTTTGATACCTATCTAAGATTCCTTAAAACTCAAAAATTTCATGATCTATTAGTTATTTTCAGTTCAAGTACTTTCACACATGTGGTAGCAAAAGTTCAATTTGCAGCTAGAAATAAATAAGAACTATGTGATTAAAGATATAAAAATGGACTTTTAAAATTAACGTAGCACGGGTGTGAGAAAAAATAGAGAGGATGCTGTAGAATTAAGATACTTTTTCCCTCAGCCCATTATTATAAGCTGCCTGATCGAATGCCATTAGGTTTGTTGGGGTTTTTTCTTTTTACGCTACTGTACAGACAAGTGAACTCTCCACCATGTGGAACAGTAAGGATCACAGCCACAAGGCTGAATGCTGTCTCTTAGAGATCAAGCAGAAGATGGTGAGAATAATATGGACCTGTGGGAACCGAAGCCATATGCCCTAGGGTCACTTGGGAGGTATCTCCCAGCTCTCACCTTCCAGCAGCTGGTCCAGGCTGGAAATCTTCTTGAGCCCATCAATGGTGTAGATTGTTCTCACCCCCTGGGGCAAATTCACGTTATCCGACAGAGTTCGGGTCAAATCAGCCAGCAGGGCCTCAAAAGATCGGAACCGGTCTGGGGAGATGGCATACACAATCCCTTTGAAGTATCGATCTCCGTTTCGATAGAAACGAACTTTCTTGGCCTTCTTCTCAGAGCTGAGGGTCTGCAGCGTGCGGGTTCGGTAGAAGCTGCAGTGGGCGCTGTGCGTGGGGCTGGGCAGCCCATTCACCCGCGACCCTCGGCTGTATCTCTGCGCCTTATCCCTTTCATCGAAGTGCTCCAACTCCATGTCTCTGCCGAAGGACATGACGGAGTTAAAGTTGAACCTGGGAGGCACAGAAACACAAACAGCCACACAAAGATGTTATTTTTGCACCCTGATTTGAAAGGCTCAGCTTGAGAGCAGCTGATGGAGATACTGCTATAATCGATGATATGTTTGATATGAATTATCAAGTTGGGAGAGAAAAGACAAAGAAATAGAAGAGGCAGACGCAGTGGAAACAGCTTATTAATCAACCCCAGTTTTGTCAGAATATGGCTGTACGCATTGACCACCTAGCACGTCAGGCTTTGAACAGCTAGTGTTTCCAACAGTCACAACAAACCTTTCAAAGTATTGTTAACCCGATTTACAGATGAAGAAACTGAGGCACAGAAAAATTTCTCCAAGTAATTCAGTTGAGAAATGCCTGAATCAAGAACTCTGCCCCAGGTTTGCCTGACTTCAAGGGTAGGTAGGAAATGAGCTTTCATTTCACTACAGGGCTAAAGATACAAGATATAGTGGTGGTGGAGGACCAGGAATCAAAAGAGGGCAGGTAGCATTTAAGAGTCAGATTGTAAACATTTTACCTAGTGTTTGTACTCTCCATGGCTAGACCAAGAGCAAACAATCTGTAGATTCTACCAACTTAAAAGAAATTTTCCAGAATATTCACATATTGAATTGAAATTTACTTAAAAAGTGGACTCACCATAACTCATTCACTTATATTTAATGCTTCAGATAAGGTGGATTAAAAAAAAAAGAAGAAAAAGAAAGGTGGGGGAGGGAGGAGAAAGGGAAGGAGGCAGGGGCAGAAAAGAAGAAGGAAAAAGAGAAGCAGCACAGCAACAAGAACAAGAAGAAGGAATGGAAGTTACTTCTTTGGGACACTTGGACTAAGGCCCTCTCTGTCTGTGGTTGAGAAAATCGAGATTTGAAGATGTTGACCGAGACTTGACCCCGTATGAGCTGCGTAACCTTGAGAAATCTACTTGTTCAACATCTTTAAGCCTCGATTTCCTGAATCACACATGGAAAAGATAACAGTACCTACCTCATAGTTAACATCAGCTATTAAGCAAGTTAAAACACATAAAGCACTTAGGGTAACGTCTACCCTGTGATAAGTATTAATATTTTTATTAATAAAATCTGCCTTTCTGTTCCTGACTTTGTCACAAAAAGACCTAGTAGGAACAGAATCTCTCCCTCCGGTAAGAGAGGCTCCAGGTGAGCTTCCCCCAACCCCACCCCCGCCACAGATTTCCAGCTCATGACCTTCTAAAAGGTACACCTGTGCCCCTACGTCCCCTCTTGACTTTCCATGGAGCCCTGTCGTCAGCTGCTGCCTGTGGGATCAATTCATCCCTGCTCAGGGGTTAGCTGATAAGGGCTCGTGCTGTTGCCCCTCACAGGGGATCCGTGTTTTAAACAGGGCAATCTAGAAAGTGGGAAAACCTCAACATTCAAAGGAAAGAAGTTTCAAGGACAAAGTTTCAGGCATATTGAAATAAGAGTTTAAGGGAAATGGAAAACTGGGGGCAAGAACCTTACAAGTGCTCCCCAAATCCCACCACACAGACGACATCACCTTTCCGAAGGTCAGTCCAAACCAGCCCAAAGTACTGCCAAGCTTCCCTGACCTTGCCTTCACCCTCAGTCAGCTGACCTGAGCCATTCAGAATGGCTACAAATTCATGCTCAAAAGCTTCATGCACTGCTAGAGATTGTGCACTCCTGAAATGAGTGAAGTGGAAAAAGCTCACATTTATTGAACGTCTATGACGTGCCTGACACTGTTACGTGGCGATCAACTGCTGTGTAACATGCTGAGAGCTCCCTCTAAACCTCCTGCCAGTCCAGTGAGGGAGGGGGTATTATTGTGACTGAGGGTGAGTGCAGGATGTATCCAGGGTCCCAAAGACAGAACTGAGGGCCTTGGGGCTTGAACCCAGATTCACTCCAACTGCCTCTGAAGCTGGCACTCCCTCCTTTCCGACTTGTGCACTCTGTCCTAGAGGCCTAGACCCCCTGGGATTGGCCCATCATCACATGTAAAGTAAGGTTTAGTTTAAAGCCCTCACTCCTCACTAGCTCTGTGACCTTGGGCAGGCTACTTAACTGCCAAAGACGTTGTGTGCACAGAGACCAGGCAGTGGTCTCCAGGCCATCAACGTTTTCACCTGCTCATGATTCTACAGCTGACCCTGCTGGGGGGAGGGAGCAGTGGGCTGGGATTCAATCTGGAGTGATTATTAGTTCTGTGTATTTTTTTTCCTCCGAATGTGAAAACCGCCTCATGCCACTCAATAACTTCACTTTTAGTCTAAATTTGCATTTTCCAGAAAAAATATACCATATATAGGTAGGTATGAAGTGGTTGCATTGATTTTGAAGTTAGATAACTTCTAAACAATTATTAGTTGATATCCAATCCTTCAGAGAGCTATTAACAGAGCCAATATTTTGCCCATGATATCATAACTGCTCCTACTCTTTTTATTTGTTTTTAAAAGGAGTTCTTTTGTCTTCCAAAAGGGATGTGTGTGTTGGGGGGATGATGCTGCCAGTACTCAAAAACCCATGCCACCTCACTAGACTCTTCAAACTTCGTAAAGTATAAAGGTCAGATTGGCTGTTGAAGGTTTTATTTTTTATATGCAGTGATCATTCTTCCAACCCTAGGCATTTCCTTCCAAATCCAAATAAACCAAAAGAAAACATGCAGGACATGCAGAAAGGATGGCACAATTGTGTCACCAGAGTGCAAATCTAATTCCAAGGGGCTCTTGTTGATTCGCAATCTGCAAAGGTCAAATTATTTAGCAATTGTTGGAATTCCCTTGAGGGAACGGGCTTCTAGAACCAACAATTCCACCCCAACTGGAAAAAAAAAGATCAATTTAAAATACAGAAAAGTTGATTTTATTTGTATATTTCTCCAAACTGGATCATGTGTTCAACCACAGCAGGGCCCACATCTTTTACTTCCCTTCACTGAGTCTGCCCCAGAGTAGGCAACGATGTGGGTGACAAAGAAAAACCACACTCCAAGTGAAATCATTCTCAAGGCTACAGCTACCACTAAATGAATGTCGAAAACCACACTAGGCATCCTCGTGTTCCAGATATTATGTGTGCCTTCAAAATAGGTATTCTTTCCCTTGCTTGGCTGGCTCAGCAATTCCACTGGCTTAGTCATATATTCGAATCAAGAGCTCCTGAAGAAGATTCACTGGGCTTCCACAGGTCCCCACTTTCTGCAAGGAAGCTGGCTAAAGGGCACAGCCAGGCGTTCATAGGCCATAGATGGCTAAGGGCCTGGGCACACATGTGTCCTGGGACCGAGAAGGTAACTGCACCACCTAAGCCACAGAGGTCCCAGAGGCTTGGGTGGGGAAGACCCGGCCTGGGTCTTATCAGAGATTTTCCTATAAACACTGCCAGGCCAAGAAATCAGCTTCTTCGACTGCTCTCTATGGGATTTCTCACCATTTTGAAGAAACTGTGTGTTCATCCTTCTCTAGATGAGCACACGAGTTCCTGTTTTGGAGATTACACACACACCAAGAAATAATTTGGATAAACGCTACCACATCTAAATAGATGCTAGACCTGGAGGTCCCAAGGCACATTTTGCCAGTGGGATTAGGATGTAGGTGGATGGCCAGGCACGCACGAAGAAGCAAACACACCTTCAGCGTGCATGCACCACCCTGGACACAGATATCACAGGATGTGTGCATACCTTTTACACTGTTCCTACATATAACCTCTCTTAAAATCCTTCTGACCCGCACTCATGTGACATTTCATACTTAAAAGGCCGTCCTCCTTTCCCGGCGAAAAGAGATATATTTAGGAACATTCATAAAACGTATTCATGGAACACCCTGCCGTGTGGCCGCTGAACGCGTGTGCACCAGAATCTGGACACACATTCATAGAGGCGGGGAGAGCAAGCCGGCCTGAATGAAACCTTTCAACCGCTCCAGCTCCTGCAAGCATCTCCTGGCCCAATGCAGCAGCGATTCCGAGCAGACCCGGTTTTCAGCAGCGGCCTCTTTTGTGGGGGGCCGTGCGGGGCTGGGCGTGCGTTTCCCCGCTAGGAGAGAAATGCCATTTCCTCTCCGCAGGCTGTTAGCACTGCAGGTACTAATTTGTACACGGGGCAGCCACGCTGTCCCCAAGGGAACTCGAGGCCCCGCAAACGTGCTTGCAGCACCCACACTGCCGTCACCCCCCCGCGTACGGATCGCCCCGTCCTCAAGCACACACCACCCTCCCGGGCCCACGGGGAAGCACGCACACAATAAGAGGCCCGACCCCTACCACTCCTTCTGGGCGCACACTTGGTCCTCACTCCGCGGCCAGTTCTGACAATGACAAACACCTGGCCCAGCTCCTCCGCCCTAGCTCTCCATCTCCACTAACAAGGCGGCCGAGAGAATGGGGGCCCCGCTCGCCCGACTCCCCGTTTTCAGCCCGGTGGCACCAGACAAAAGAGGCAGGTGCCAGCAGCCCCAGGGCCGCCTGCACACACCGCCCCCGGCCGCGGCCGGGCAGCTCCTTTCGAGGAACGGCGGGAAGGGCGGCGGCGGCCGAGGGGGCGCCCGCCTGCCCTCCGCGCCCGCGCTCCCCTGGACCCCGCGGTTGCGGGAGGAGTCGGCGCTGTCGGGCCCCCTGAGGGGCCTCCCGGCCGGCCCGCCCCTCGGCTCCCTTCCCCGGCGAAAGCAAACCACGCACCGGTCTGCGGAGAGACGCCGCCGGGGGTCTTTGTGGCTGCGCTCCGGGCCGCCTCCTGGTGCTGTCTCCGCGGGGCTGGGTGCGGCCTGACCGCGGGGCTCTGGGGCGGCGGCGGGGCCGAGGCTGGGCGGCGGCCGCTGCTGGACCGCGGGCGTCTGGGCTGCAGCCGCTAGCGGAGGGACGCGCCTCGGCCGCTACTCATCGAAATGAGGCGCTTCGCACAGCCTCACTCCTGCCTCTCTCCGGAGGAGGGCGGCGGCGGCGGCGGCGGCTGCGGGCGCGCTCCCTGCTCTAGTGGCGCACTCGCTCCCCCGCCCACCCCCGCTCCCTCCGCCTCCTCCGCGTGCGCGCCCGGCGCCCCCGCCCCTCTGGGCAGAGCGCGCCCACCACGGCTGCGCCCCGGGCCTCCTCCTCCCCTCGCCCTCTCTCGCCGCCAGGATCTCAGTGCATCTGGCTGGAGCAAACCCCCTAACCTCCCCAGGCCCCGGGAGTGGTTGTCTGGAGATTGGGGCCGGTCGGTGGTGGACCTGGGGACAGGCGGAGAGAACGTGGACCGGGTCTGAACCAGGAAACGTGCAAGGCAGAGACGTGAGGTGTGGCCGAGCCGTGAGACCCCCTCCCTCAGGGGAGGCAAGGGAAACCGTTCCTCCCCCCCACCCCCGCCACTCTACACACACTTCGATGTGACCTCGTGGTTTGACACCTTTCCCAGAATCATGAAAGCCAACGTGATGGCCCTGTCATCACTTCTCACGCAGGACACATCCATGCAGCACCTCCTGGGAGGACCATCCCCAGACCCTCCCAACCTACCCGCACTAGTGTCACCCTCAGGCCCCCTAATTGGGAAGGGCCAGATCTGCGCATAGATCCCACCCATCATCTCCACTTGACCCCCAGTCTTGACTCACCCTTGAAACAGTGATCTCTGCTTGGAGCTGAATATGTGTCACAACAGGCCCTTGATAACTTAAAGGCCAAGTTTCGCTACTGGACCCCTCATGCCTGCCAAGGCTGGCGGTCAGCGCTGGAAAGCCCCATGAGCTCACATAAGCCTCCGACACACACACACCCCAGGGGGCAGGAATGTTTTCAAAGCTCAGGCTGCTCACAGCTTCCGCCAGTTTTTGCACGGAAGTCCAAGAATCAGGTCGCAGACTTCTGGTGAACCTTAGCCTGGTTCAGTGGGCAGCTTGAATTTTGGTCCAGTTAACCTCCTGACTGTCCCTTGAGACATGTATTTGTCCCAAATACTGTACATACACAAATACACGTGCATCTCTCTCTTCCTGAGCTTACACTTTTCAATAGAAAATCAAAAATTTTTCTCTTGTCAGCTGAGCCATTATGTATTTGACTAGTTATTATTAGTAAGAGCTATTCTGAAGTACTTTCAAAGTATTATGTAAATACTAACTAACTACCCTTTGTTATAAAAGGCAGCTCAAAAGAGATGCATGTTACATATTCAACAAGTGCTGCAATATTTATCTTTGAACTACTGAATAGCCCAGGGATGAGAGTACAGTGAACTCACCAAATTAACTAGATGCAAAGTACTGAGCCTGTTCCTTCAAATTCTAATCAGAATGAGGGCCAAGGGGTAAGTGCAGAGAAAGAAGCCAAGTGTATTTTGAGAAGGGAAATCAAAGCTTCTGTTTATCTTTCCTGTGACAGATGCCAACTGATTTCTGCCAATATGCTAAACCAAGAAATATATTCCATCTCCTTGCCCCTATGGATATTCTGTCAGGGTCATTTCTTAAGCACTTTAAGTAGCTCAACTGTATCTTACCTCTTTCCTAGGTCTTCTCTCTGGGATATGCAGATACTGTCCAAAGAAACAGCTTTAAATTTGATTCTCCCAGTTGCAATGTTTTCTCACTAGAAATAGTTGGGCATCATTAACCCTTTCAGGACACCAAAGGGCAACTGACAGCTAGGTGGGCACACTGAATAGTACCCACCAGCCAATATACCATGGTTATATCATTTAGCCAGGACAGGAGGATGGTAACAAATGGCACCCAGTGACCTGACAGAAGTAACTACAGAAGTGCCTAAATTATTTCCAGGGTAGTCTTTGGCAAATCTAACTGCTATTCAATAATAATTCCTAATTGAAGTGAAATTTAATCAGGAAACTCCTAGTTCAAATAATTTTCAAAAACTGACGTTATTTCCAATACATCACAAGGATACGGACCAGAGAAGTGACTGACCCTTTTCTCCATGAAAATCTGAAGGCAACAGAGGTCTCACCCTAACTCCCCAAAGCTAACTCTTTTTAAGCTGTGCGCCCCAATTGCTGCTCGAAGCAACCGCAGCTCTGCATCCTGCAAGATGACAATGGCTTGGACACTGTTCTGTCGGTGGCTCCTGTTAACTGAGCGCTTGCTTTTTGCTGTGCTGGGGGCTTTTGTACATTTTCTTATTTCATCCTTATAAGAACCATTCAAGGTAGGCATTACTATCCTCACCTAACAGATGAAGGAATTTAGGCAGAGGGAGGTTACCTCATTTGCCCATAGTCACGTAGCTAATAAATCTCGAGCCCAACTCCATTTTTTTAAATTCCTATGTTTTAAAATTCAAGTCACTGGGCTTCCCTGGTGGTGCAGTGGTTGAGAGTCTGACTGCCGATGCACGGGAGGCGGGTTCGTGCCCGGGTCCGGGAGGATCCCACATGCCGCGGAGCGGCTGGGCCTGTGAGCCGTGGCAGCTGAGCTTGCGCCTCCGGAGCCTGTGCTCCGCAATGAGAGAGGCCACAACAGTGAGAGGCCCGCGTACCGCAAAAAAAAATAAATAAATTCAAGTCACTTTTCCAATTGCTATGCCCATATGCTTATAAAGCAATACCAAATTCTAATGTGAAGTGTAATCTCTTTTGAAAAAATGCAGCCTTTTAACCAATGGATTTATTATTTCATAACGGAGTGAGAACAACTCTTGCTGTTGTGCTGTAGTGATGGGTACCATCAGGTGTGTCTGCTCTGAGCTAAACGTTTTCATGAGAACATTTGCACTTCATGCTCGTCCACAAAGTTGATGGACAATCTTATCTAAAGGGTTTTTTTTTTCCTGAAATTAAGTTTTCAGATAAAGCCAGGGAAGATACAGAAAACTAAAGAGTAATAATTTTTAGGAACTTCTCTGGTGGTCCAGTGGTTAAGACTCTGCACTTCCAACCAGGGGGTGCAGGTTCGATCCCTGGTGGGGGAACTAAGATCCCACATGCCGTGAAGACAAAAATATATAAAAAAAAAAATTTTAATTCTTAAAGAAAAAAGAATAATAATTTTTAGTTGACCACATACCTCTTTTCAGGTGCCTTTATTGGCTTCTTCTTAGAACATGTACTCAATTACGCAGATTCAAAGAGAATCACAGAATAAGGGATGTTAGCAGTAAGAGATGTACTTCCTGTTTTTCCCTCTAGGAGGGGGAATTTACTGTGTCCCGTTCATGTCTCTTCAGTCCTCCTCTGGGACCAAGGGCATGCAGTGCTACTGGGCTAGAGTACCAAGCATATTTAGTGCCCACCACAACTGTGAGAAACAGTTTTATAGAATATGATCGTCATTTTAATTTTCCTTTGTATTTCTTCCCGTATGGTAAAGGCTCCTTATGGCATTTCCCACAGCGTTTCCTAATTGCCTCTAATTACAGAACACTTCTGCCTTCTTCCAGAATGAAAGAAACTCCCTGATGAGGGCCCTTGCAGCAGCCGGTCCAGTTTTCACCCCGTGTGTGAATCCCTGCCACCACAAGTGGCCTTTCAGCCTCCACTCTGCTGCTTCTGAAGGTGGCACATGTGACACAGTGAAGAGAAATGAGAGTACCCTCTGAGAGTTAGGCTAGATCAGGGGATTCTAGAAATAGTGAACGAGATCTCTAAATTTTTAACTGGCCATTTCTCTCTGGCTTGGCGTTCCAGACATGATGAGGGGCCAAACTACAAAAGGCTATGGACCTACACAAAGGAGCAAGGGACTCTACCACCCCGAGAGACCCTCCCTAAGCTGACAGAGAGCTTCCCAAAGCTCATTTCTCCTTTTCCTAAGTGTGATTTCCTTTAGTAGAGAGGGACTCAGCACAGCCCAGTCCCCTGCCAAGCAGCGCTGCAAATTAAACCCAGAGCCACTTTCCTCAACCTTGCCTGGTGGTTCTGGCTCTTCTGTTTGGATCTACAGGGGACAAATCGAATGGCCCTGCCATCTCCTTGACAGCCCTATTGTATTCTACCAAATTCTACTCCGCATTTCCTAGGAACCCCCAGCCCTTCAGCTGCTTCTCATACGACAGGGCTTGGAAATGTCAGTGGTGCGCAGCTGTCAAAACCTCCCTCAGTATCTGCCTCTCAGAACTGGGCCCGGATGGCAACGGTGGTCTCACTGGGGAAGCTCCAGGACTTCAATTGTCCTCAGCACACTACTTCTGTTAAAGGGACCGAACATCACATCAGCCTCCCTGGCAGGCATGCTGCACTACTGACTCATTCAGTCAATTAAAATCTCCATGCCTTTCACATGTTTGGCTCTTAAGGCCCCTTATTCTGTATCTGTTCAATTAGATTGGGGGGCCTAAGTTCAGTGCTCTGTATTTTCCTTCTTAAATTGTGTGTTGTTATTTGATCCACCTTTCTAACCTGCTGAGTGGGATCCCTTCAGACACGTCATGTCACCACTACACGAGAGCGATCGCTCCAGCCTGCTGTCAGTCTGATTAACACCACACCCTCATCTCATCTTGATAGTGGATAAAAGCTTTCAATAGAACGTGGTCACAGCAGGCCATGTTAGCTACAGCAAATAAAAAACATGTTCTCTAACGGCAAATAAATATCTAGAGATCCAGTGATCGCTGAAATTCACCTTTTTACATCTAGAATTATATCCTTGGCTTTGTTGCTATTTCGAGGTCATAGGTATATTTATATTGATAGATCACTTTCAAGTTTTCATTCCTTCATCCATTCATCCAATAAATAATTTCCGAGTGTCTCCAATGTGCCAGGCACTGTGATAGGCGGGAACAATACAACCATGAGGTAGAATTGCAAATATCCTCTTCCCATGGCATTGACAGTCTGTAGGGAGTAGGATGGCAAATGAAATTTACACAAATAATTACTTAATCCCAGTATCACTAAGTACCCTGAAGGAAAAGAACAAAGGGCTTCAGAGAGAGCTTGCCTTCCCTAAGGAAGTAACATTTAAGAAGAGACCCGAAGCTACCCAGCAGCAGGGTGGAAGAGTATGATTCCAAGCAGAAGAAATAGCCTTA